TGTAACCTGGGTGATATTATCGTTGTGAGATATTGTATGACCACCAAAGCTCTTTAACTAGTAATCTCTAGTGTACAGTTCTACACACCTTGGGGTAATTTAAGAGGTCACACATGTCATACTCTTAAAGTTGGCATGATACTGCTTTGGGATAATGGAACCTGAGTGTTAAAGTGTATTGTGTGTGTGTGGGGCGGGGGTCTAAAACTCAGTTGCCATGCCAACGTTAAGCTCATAGACTTGCACAAAATCCACGTGTATTAGAGGGTATACAATTCAACACGTGAATTTCAGTGTTTAAGGGGTTCACAGTTGACATGGCATTGATTTTTAGGACCTTAGACTCACACACACACACACACACACGCACACACACACACACACACTCACACACATGCACACACACGCACACACACACACACACACACTCACACACACACACACACACACACACACACACACACACACTCACATAGAAGTTCCCAAAACAATATCGTACCAACTTTGTCCCTAAAACATAATCCTTAAGAATTTGCTGTTATTATACTCCCTAGTAGAGGAATGCTGGTGGCCATCCATCACACTTTCTATAGTAAACCTCCACGAGCTCCAGTGGTCTTGAGACTTTATGACATCGTTATAGAAGTAAGATGGATTTGTATTGAATTTTAAGGTATTTATTGAGCTTTCGATGAAACTACTGAGCGTTGACCTGGTCATTTTTCAGGCTACATGAGTAGACTGGGGTGTAGATTTAAGGAACGTATTATTTGCCATTGTTCTAATATTCGGGTTTACTTTGGTTTGTTTCATTAATATTTGTTAATTCTTTTATCGTCATTGATGCCATAACTTGTGTGTGTGTGTACGAGTGGCGACCTGTGGTGTAATGGTCAGCATTCTCGCCTCGCAAGCGAGCAGACCCGGGTCCGATCCCGGGCAGGGTGAAACTATGGGCAAGTTTCTTTACGTCATTTGCCTCTGTCTACCCTGTAGTAATTGGGAACCTGGATATTAATCAATTTGCGGATCGTATTCCAGGTTAATGGTTAGCCAGTGCAGTTGGCGAGTAGTCCGGTCTTTTCGGACTATTCCTTGACACTGGGTCATGAAGCTCGTTAACTTAGTCTGTGGTTGTTGTGTTGGCGACAGCTTCTACGCCTTAAAGCTCTTAAACAAATTCACGCCTAGGTGGCCCTTGGGCCGGCCATCCTCGTTATACGAGAGACAACCACTATTATTATTATTATTATTATTATTATGTGTGTACGATTAGTTATAAGTATTTCAAGTTCGGGATCTTCTCACGTGCTATAAATCATTATGTATTGATCATCCTCCTTTGTATGTTACGGGTGTGTTTAAGCTAAAAGTCATTATAATGTTTCTTGAAATGTAAACTGTAATTACAAACTGTAAATGACAGCAATAAATTGAGGGTCATATATTTGAGATAACAGATACGGTATCACACCATACCCGCTGTTCTTGATAATCATACACTCCAGTTTCTATTATTTTCTCGTGTTAAAGGACTATAACTCACTGCTGCAAATAAAGATCGAGGACTTTGTACCGCCATGCTGGTGGTAATGCCATCTTGCCTGCCATTGCACCAAAATATTGCTGTTTAAATATACGATGCAACGATCAGTAATATAATAGTTGCTCGTTTGATCTCAGGGATGTTGCACGCGTCATGTCAGCATTCTTAGCTTTACCGTTTAGTTCCAATAATATTTGCTCAGAGAACATTCATAGTTAAAAATGACAATTATAATATGTATATATATGTATATATATATATATATATATATATATATAATATATATATATATATATATATATATATATATATATATATATATATATATATATATATATATATATATATATATATATATATATATATATATATATATATATATATATATATATATATATATATATATATATATATATATATATATATATATATATATATATATATATATATATATATATATATATATATATATATATATATATATATATATATATATATATATATATATATATATATATATATATATATATATATATATATATATATATATATATGTGTATATTGATAAAATCACACGGGGAAAAGGGAAACAATGGAGCAACCTAGTTGCCTCTGAAGATGTCTTGAATAAAGACGAAAGCTAAGGTGCTCCAATGTTTCCCTTTTCCCCGTGTGATTTTATCAAGATTAATTTTCATATAAACAACAGCAGCAAAGCTCTAGATTAGCATGCCGAATTCTGCAGTGTGCTTTCAGAAATTCTAGACATTGTTATAAAAATAAAATCCACATTAACCAGAAGGTAAGTAAACAAGTGAAGTAAACAGTGGTGTGGGGGCATAACGTGAGTTTATTATTGTGTGTTGCCAGTAAAATAAAATTTAATTACTGCCAGGGACGAACTAAAGGCCGCGTGTGTTTTGATAGTAAATATTTGATATGTGGTGACCAATGATTCAAGGACGGTCAAGTTGATATAATGAAACATGGATTGCAGTGTCCGTAGAATTATCAAGTAGAACTCATAATTAGCAAATACTTTTTAAGACGAAACTACAGACTTTAAAATAAAAAAAAATAAAAATTGTCAACGGGTGAGGCACAAATGTTTTATTATGAATCATCTTTGCTGGAACCCGTAATTATGGAAAATATGAGGGGGTAAATATTGCGGTTTGTACAAATATTGCTAGAAACTCACTTTTTATTTTAAGGATTTGTGTCACCAGTTACCTCAGTGATTTTACTGGAGTTAATTAATCAGACGTTAACCATTATCAACCCATGAACGATGAGACACCTGCTACTACGTCAACTGTCCCTCCGCTTTTCAGTCAGTCTGTCTGTCTGTGGTGTTTTTATTATCTTGGATTCTGTTGAATGCTTCCTACACATCGTCTGTTAGTATTGTAAGAGTGGTGAGGGGGTCACTTGCTGTAAGAGTGACGCACCAGCTGTGAGAAGAACACACCAGCTGTGAGAGGGACGCACCAGCTGTGAGAGGGACGCACCAGCTGTGAGATAGACATCCTCCCAGGGCTGAAATATTCATCACCGGTGATGGTTGTGGAGAGGTGGTGGAGGTGTTTGCGGTGCATGTTAGTGTATGTAATATTTGCCACCACGGCCACCTTAGGAATTCCTCTTAAGGCTTGTGTTATGTGTGCCTTCGGTCCTTGCCAACGCCTGGTTCTAGACATAATGGAGAGACTCGTGGCGTGGGACTGCGACATGCTTCCGGAAACGACCTGTCAATCTTTTCCTGTCGTGGCAGCCAAACAAATCCTCCCGCAGAGAGAGAGAGAGAGAGAGAGAGAGAGAGAGAGAGACAGAGAGAGAGAGAAAATAACCATGAACTTGTAGTTGTGATAAAATTGGATTCAAATCAGTAGTGTGACTCACCTTCACCAGTAATGGACGCCTGACAAACTGGCTTCCGGTGTCATCATGTACACTCGGTAAAAAAATTATCTTTTACAATTCTTGTGCGAAACAAAATGACAACACGAATGAAGGCTTTTAATAAAGGCTCACGAGGCACACTGCAATTCTCCAATCATATTGCAATGGACTAATTTTATATTGTGAATGAAAGAACAAATTTAGGCCTTCCATAATAGGTAGGAAATGTCTCACAATCACACCTACCAACCCTAGCGAGACAACAGGATTGTTCAGTTCCAAATTCATCGACCCCCTCCCGAAAGATACCTTTTTTACCGAGTGTACAGTACGTCTTCTCTCGCCCCACCCCACAATTACTGTCACCCCTGTATTAAAAAAAGTACCCAGTGAAACAGTCCGCAGTCATGTAGTGGTCGCCACACGGTCACTCAGGGACGTACATTAATTAAGGCGTTTTTATACCCCATGTTTTCACTTGTCTTTTATACTGGGATTAAGCCACTGCACACCTTTCATGGGTCGCTCTCACAACACGAACTTTGCTGTGTGTGTGTGTGAAGGTTGTTGGCGCCGGCGCTCACAGGTTTATTCCCAACACGCTCGAAGATTGTCATTATATCGAAAAAATCAATTACAGGCCGTACTAAAATTATATTCTAATTAAACATACAGTAATTATTACCTTGGTGATACATTTAACGACAATTACTAGCGAGTCATTACGTGCGTCAGAATATCAGATGTATCGAGCGACAATTAACAGAACCATTAACAAAATTAATTACCTTCAACTACCCTGTTTTCGTTATAACGTCTTTGTTACGTATGACGTCACTACCCACCTTTGTTGTTACCGAACCAAGAAACATTGTGTATGACGTCACTCAGCTTTATCCACCTTTGTCTTTTCTGAATCAGCATTTACTATATATGACGTCACTCTACTCACTTTCTTTGTTCTTACTGAACAAACAACTATTATGTATTATGTCACACATACCCGCCTGCCCACGTCCCCACACACTGTCATCATCAACCTTTATTGCTGCCGTAGTTGATGTCATTGTTTCTCTTGCCTCCGCTGTCAGTGCAGTTGTTTCTGTTCGTCTTTGTCTACTCTTTCTGCTTCACTGCTGCTGCTACCGAGACTTGTTTCTTCTGCAACTCTTGTACTACTTATGTGTGAGCCGTTATTTCTCCTCCTTCCGTTGTTGCTGCTGCTGCTGCTACCTCTACCTCAGTACCTCCCTGAGCAAGGGATGCAGCGAGGCGACACATAATCATTCCTGCAGCAAATAAGTGCACGACACTAGGAACAGCGAGGTGGGTCGTTATTATACTGTGTTATCCAGCCTCTGTGACGACTCCTTGTGAGCTAAAAGGTTTGTTAGGTTATTTTGTGATGTTTTACTCTAAACTAGAGCCTTAAGTGTTCTGTGAAATTTATGTTTTGAGCGTGACAAGGATGTGTGTGTGTGTGTGTGTGTGTGTGTGTGTGTGTGTTAGCCAGGGCACAGCCACAGGACTAAGGTGTGTGTTTCGCCCACAGATGGTGACGCTGCAGGAACAGGAGACTAATAAGAACGACCACCTCCGCCAGAAGAGGAAACAGGAAAAGGGGTTCGCCTACGACAGACTCTTCGGTGAGGATTCGAACCAGGTAAGTTTCGTGTTGCTCTCTTGAGGTGTGTCAGGGGTCAGTCTTGCGTCACTCAGGTCAGTTAAAATGGCAAGTTCTTTATTTTGGGGTTAATATTATTTGTACAGCATTGTCAAGGATATGGTCTCGGATTATGGAAAGTTCATATTTTCAATAGATTTTAAGCTACAAGGTAAACAAAACGCCTTGAATGGCATCAACATTACACTAAGAATCTATCGTCACTTCGTCTGTTGTCTTAAAACCAGTTGGGAGACAAAATAATCACACTGCAGTCAGCTCAGATACATACTAAATCGTTTGAGGTCAATGAAAAGAGATAAGTTGGCAGTTTGTTTGTATTCATGTTTTGTCAGGCTCCGGGGTGGTGGTGGTGACCTTAGACCCGAGTATAACTCCCTCTCTCCATCCCCCAACCCACCCCACTCAACTCCTACCCCCATTACTCTCACTTACATTTCTTGTCCCCTCTCGTATCCCCTTCATCATATCTGCTGTCACCTAACCCCTAATTTATCATTACTTCCCTTGTCTTCTGCTCACCACTGTTGCTCCTCCTCCCCTCACTAACCCCTTCTTGCTATCTCTTCCCTCCTACCTCCTTAACAATACTCTTCCCCTGCTAATTCTTTACCGTCTCTCCCCTTGCTATCTATTACCCCTACTTCTTACTTCTTCCCGCTTCCGCACCCCTTTTTCGCTTCTTGCCCCCTCCTTATCCACCCTTCTTCACCTCTTTTCCTTTCCTTCCCCACCTCTTTTTCCCTTACTAATCCCTCCCCGTTTTTCTCCTTACTTGTCCTCCCTTGCTAACCCTTCTACTGCTATTCTCCCTCACCCTGCAGAAGGAGGTGTACGAAGACACGACAAAGCCCCTGGTGAATGACGTGGTCAACGGGTTCAGCGCCACGGTGTTCGCGTACGGGGCGACGGGCGCGGGCAAGACGTTCACCATGGTGGGCACGCAAGACGAACCCGGCATTATGGTCAGGGCACTCAACGACCTCTTCCAGTCCCTCGGCGAAAATGAGAGTAGGAAGACCAAGGTGAGGTTCTGTGCCCCCTCTCTCCCCTTACTCTTCCATACTTCTCCTCCTCTCTTTTTATGTTATCTATATTATTATTATCATTATTATTATTATTATTATTATTATTATTATTATTATTATTATTATTATTATTATATCAATATTATTATCATCATTATCATCATCCCTGCTGGTATTAACGCACGTACACATTCCACAACCTCATTATCGTATCGTGTGTACGTTTGTCTTGAGAACAGTTAAGTCCACTGATTTAGAAGGGTTTAAGGTGTACAGGAAGACGTTATGTTATGTTACGTTAAATTTGATTGGGTTGGGTTGGGTTAGGTTGTTAGGTTATGTTACCGGAGGTCCGGGGGTAAATAACACACTCGGCATTCCATAATTAGACAACAACAAAATAAATAAATAAATACTACATATTTTCTCCTCCTTTCGTGAATACTTCATCTGTTTTTGAGTTGTGTTTGTGAGTGATAAAGTTGTGTTTATAAGTCGTATGTGGAGAGAGAGAGAGAGAGAGAGAGAGAGAGAGAGAGAGAGAGAGAGAGAGAGAGAGAGAGAGAGAGAGAGAGAGAGAGAGTATAGACTGCATATAGATGTTTTATGAATATGAGGGAAGGAAGGAGTCGAGAATGATACATGATGAATAAAGTCCTCCACGGCTCCCCCCTCCCTTCACACCAGAAATAAGCGAAGTATAATGCTGTGTATTGACGACCAACACCATTTATGTGTCAAGGTCATTCCGGATGAGGGTGTAATAGTGAGAGCCAGGTGAGGGGACCAAATGATTGACAGGTGTGGGGATCAGGTGGGGTGGATCAGGCGAAGGACAGGTGAGGGTCAAACGAAGGACGATAGGTTAGGAGGGGAGGTGGACCAAGTGAGGGAACCAGGTGAAGGACAGGTGGGAGTCAGGTGAGGGGGCTAGGCGAAGGACAGGTGGGAGTCAGGTGAGGGGACCAGGTGAAGGACAGGTTGTAAGTCAGGTGAGGGGGGGCCAAGTAAGGGGACTAGGTGAAAGAAGAAAGTGAGTCAGGTGAGGGGGACCAAGTGAGGGGGGCTACGTGAAGGACAGGTGAGTCAGGGGATGAGACCAATTAAGTGGTTCTCCTCCAAGGACACGCATAAGAGGCTATGTTGGAGGGGCAATAACAATTGAGGGTAATGCGATAAGAGAGAGAGAGAGAGAGAGAGAGAGAGAGAGAGAGTCGATGATAGTAATTATGTATAGAGTTGGACCAAAGTCTCGCGCGCACGCACGCACGCACACACACACACACACACACACACACACACACACACACACACACACACACACGCACACACGTCAGGCAAGGTCACTCCCCCAGGTAAGGTCACTCACCAAACTAGGTCATCCACTACATTGAGTCCATGTGTCCTGCTAGCTAAAGAGTCTCACATTCGAGGCCTTGACGAAGATCTGCTTGTGTTGGTGAATAATTAACAAGGGAATCAGGTTGATGAGATAACTACTTGGAGCGTGTGGTGAAAACTTGAGCCTTGATTAATTCCTCCGAGTAAGTCAAACTTTTCTTGCTTAGTTTTTCTTCGGAGTAATAGTTATTTTTTATTTATTAGTTTTCTTCAAAGTAAGACGAAAACATTTCTCGTTTAATTCCTTAGAAATTGGACTCAAGTTTTTACCACTAAATATTCTTTAATGTTTTTTCGTAAGGAAGTGAAAAATAAATAAAAACACTAAGATTTGCACAACATGTAACTGTGTCTCGTGTTAGGGACTACCAACAGAAGCTAGCGCCGACCTTGTGTGTGTTGTGTAGACCATCCGTGTAGTGACGAGGACCTTGCGGATGACGGGACGTGTGTGTTGTGTTGTTATTTACCTTGACGCTCACTAGACGTGACGGCCACCACGCCACGCCTAGCACACAGACACGCAACGGTATGGACAAAGGACGGGTAGTGTTCGTATCCAGGGGAAGGGGAGGAGGCTCTTATTTAGGTTGGGTGAGGTTCGTGTCCAGGGGGATGAGATTCGTGTACTAAGGTGCGTGTCTAGGGATGCTAGGTGCGTGCCTATGCGGGTGGGATGGGGAAGAGGGGAGGGAAGTCGGTGCATGTTGTATACAGGGAGGAGCAGAATAGAGAGCTGCTGCTCAGGTCGCGGATCCAAGAATATCACAAGGGGGGTCCAAGAAGTTGTGGGTGGGGAATATGGCGAGCATAGCGAGCCCACCCAGCTGTAAACCCCCCATAAATTTTTTTGAAATCTCATCAATATTATGGGCATTATCAGGCCATTTTAAAGCATGTGCACTTAATATTAAGAGATATCCTGAGGTCAATAGTAATTAATTTTTACTATACAAAAACGCCTGAGTATAATACTGCATTAAAGAAAAGGGTATCGGAATTTTCTGATGAAAAGGGAGATCCGGACCCCCAAGACCCCCCCCCCCCCTGGATACTATACTTTACCTTAACTTCTGTGATAATGCAAATGTACAGTCAGGAAAAACCAAAACAAAACAGGATCTTCACCCCTGGTCTGGTGGCCGACAAAATGATCACTGTGACTGAGGTCGTGTTCATATGGTAGGGTTGGTATCTCTGATATTGTGAGCATCGTGTAACAAATATGATATATCCTGTATCACGCACAGTTAAAATAGAGAAATTAACAGCAATACATAGAAGACCTTGACGAAAACTAACACAATTAAACCTTATAGAAAACAGAAGATGAAGAGTAACTGGCAATTCAACCTCTTGGAATGCAGGGCTACTAACATACGGCATAACTCAAGAACGTGTGTCAGAAATCTTGGTCCAGTGTCATATTGTTTAACACTGAAAATGTGCAGATACTTCTTTTACGGACTGTATTGTACTCTTGCTCCAAAAAAAAAAAAAAATCTTTACCGAGGGTCCGAGGAATTTCAAAATGAACAGCGCGACTCCTGTTGTTTCAGTAGGGTTGTCAAAACCCTTTGTCTGTTACGTCATATCGTCTGAAAAAATCGTAAGGATACTTTTTGGTGCCAGTATACCTGCGAGCGGCTGTGCAGAAAAAACTGATTTTAATAATTTTTGCAAGTTTGACAATAAGCATTCATAAAACACCAATCTTGACTAAAGGTGCCCGCAACAGTACGAACCTTATCCAGCCTTTGGGTGCATGTCCAGGAGGGGGGCTCATATCCAGAGAGAGAAGGATTTGATCGTGTAAGAAGTTGAGGGGAGGGGTTGGCGCGTGTCCTGTCAACGGGTACCTGGTGTGGATGAATGTAGGGTGTGGTGTGTTGTCTGTGAGGGGGAGAGGAGGTGGGGTGATGGTGTGGACTGGGTGAGAGTGGGGAGGTGAGGGAGAGGACTATGTCGTGTGGGAGAGGAGGGAAGCAGGAACACACACACACACACACACACACACACACACACACACACACACACTAGTTTGCGAGTGTACAAAAGTCCACAAAGTTTATATTATATACAAAAATACAAAAATATCCTGCTAAAATAAGAATGTTCATACGTGATACGGAAACAATCATGGCGTCCATGACACCACAGTGTTCTAACTTTCACCTCGACCCTGGTCCACCGACAGCCTGAATATATCCATTGTGTGAGCCACGGTCGAGTGTCGTTGTGAGTAATCGACAAACGTTTAAGATATACCTCTGATGTACTGTATATACAATTATACACGCATGCATACTGTACATGCAAAGGAGATCCTCGGCTGAATCCCAAGAGATAAGAAGAAATCCCCAAAAGAGTAAATAATCAAGACAGACGTGGCAGCATAAGCGAGAGGTTCTCATCCAGCAAGACTCTACGACACCAACAGATTAATAAAACCAAAAGTATTCCTGGCAATTGAAAGAAATGAAGAATGTATTACGATGACGGAATATAGTGGAGAAAACAGTAGCATAAGTAACACAGAAGAAATGAAAACACTGGAGAAAAAAAAACTTGCGGTGGAGTGACATGTTTACAGTACACCCCACTTTGTTTTGTTGTCGGGGAGAAGACAGTGGGTGAAACTAGAGGAAAGTTTCGGTGGGACTGAGGATCGTGCCTCTAGTTTACGCTTTTTATTATATGTGGAGGTAGAAGACCCAAAGTGTATTTAGAAATTTCTGAAGAAACAGTTCAAGTTACAGCGACTCTGAACGAGGCTGCCATAAAATCAGTTATATTTAGTGATTAATAAACCCAACTCCATATTTCTACTGTTATAACGATGACGTATCTGGCACGATATGAGTCTGACCCAAGCATAGTTTAAAGGTCAGGTCAAAACGAAGGTCATCTCTAGTGCATCAATATAGCGCCAATATATAAAACATATAATGGTGCAGGAGGGCGGGTGGATAGAGCGTTCGCCTCCTGTCCTAAAGGTTACTGGTTCAGACCTAGCGTCTCTTCAGTTGAACCACCTGTGATTGGGTACTTAACTTTCAGTATAATGTATCCACAATGTCTCTCATGGGCCGTCTGGCGTATGAGCCTTTTTCCACATGTACAATAAGGTTGGAACTGATATGGGAGGGGACAGGGACTGACACAAGAGGAGGGCTGGGGCTGACATGGGTGGGGGGGCTGGGGCTGACATGGGAGGGAGCTGGCACTTTAGCACATCAATATAACGGCTCCGTGACACCTGTAGAACAAGGCTGGTGCTGACATGAGCGGGGAGGGGAATGAGAGGGAGGAAGGGAAGGCGAGGGAATTTGGGTGAGAGGGGAGGTGAGAGAAGTATGTCGAGGGTGAGAGAGGGACGGTTGGGGTAAGGGAAATAGGAAGAAAAGGGAGGATAATAAGGTGGGTGAGGGAAGGAATCTGAGTGAGGGGTAGGGGAGTTTATATTATGTAAGGTGAGAATGATAATTGTAGGCATGGTAGGTGAGAGGGATAGTAGGAGGAGAAAAGAGAGTAAGAGAGGGAAGGTGAGAGTAAGAGAGGGAAGGAGAGAGTAAGAGAGGGAAGGAGAGAGTAAGAGAGGGAAGGTGAAAGAAAAGAGGGTAAGAATAGATACACATAGACTCGGTGTCACTATTGAATAAATCATTCATATTGGTTTCTTGAGGACGCTCGATGTGTGTGTGTGTGTGTGTGTGTTTGTGTAGTGTATACGTTTGTGTAGAGTATCCATGTATATATGTTTGTATAGTGTATCTTTGTGGTGTAGGCAAGTGGCTAAGGGTGTATTTCTGTTGTGTCTTTTGTGAAGTGTAAACATATGTGTGCCGGTCAATATGTTTAGACCACCAGCGTGCTGTAAGGCTTCCCGCTAAGGTGGTGTAGGACTGGGAGGTAACTGGTTCTGGGAGTTATGCAAATAGCTTCCTAATTAAACTGAGATTCTGCCGTAACTATATAAAATCACTTAGTATCAGTCTGGAGGCAAGATTAATATAAGAAATGGGATTGCTGTATCATTTGACAATTTAGTTAAATTTGCTGGTGAGTTACAGTTGGTTTGGCACTTGACTTCTGGACCTATACACATACACTATAAACGCCTTCTTTACACACACACACACACAGGCTCGAAAAGAAGTATCGTGCCCCTTAAATACTAATAAGTATTACCTGTACCAATTAACAAAGGAGACAGCACCTACTATAGGATGTTACGTGATGGACTGTGCCTCGCTGTAGCTCTAATATTGTTGCGTTAGGAAATGACTTATATAATTAAAACTATATATATGTAACACAAACTCTTATTTACTTGTGTTTGTTTACTCATCTCAGTCAGGCACGTATCACAATGTTTTCATTGGGCGTTTATAATGAAGACTAGGGATTTTGAATTGAAACAGTTTATTTAGCCAGAAAAACACAGATAGAGTGGATAATAATAACAATATTAACATGGCTGAGCCAGTTGAGAACCTGAGCTCTCTTTTAGGCACCTGATATATACTATACATTTATCTCAAGGAAGTATTAGTATCATCTGGAATAGTACAATAGCTTGGTGGTAATAAGAACATCTCATAATGTTACCACGGTTATTACATCAATATTTATTAATTTTATTTATTTATTATTTATTTAAACAAAATTATTTATATTATAAGTAAATACTGTACATAAATTACAGTGGAATTGAAGAACATAAATATAATGGGGAAGCAGTACAACATGGGTTGTACAGTATTTAGGTTGAGCAAGAGGACAGAGCTGTCAGGATTTTAACTGGTGCTCCCGGTGGTGGTCTATTGGGAGTCTCATTGAGTTGGGCACTTTTACGAAATTTCGGACAGAGGAATGAAACTTATGATAAAGGTTTTGCTGCCATTAGAGTTGGGAAAAATAGGGATAGTGTGAGTTGGCGTTTCTCGCATAAATCATCTTCCTTTTATCCCCTTATTTTTGTTTAAGGTCGAAGGAGTGATGTTTTTATCACCCGAACTCCCAATCGTTATGCTTCTGATCATAGTCGTGTGCACAGTAATAACATACCTGTACATTGTAAAATGAGATATAGGGCATAATTTTTTTTATTAAAAACGAATATAATGGTTAATCACTGATAATGCTCGGTGTGTCTGCAGATCACGATGTCGTATTTAGAGATCTACAACGAGAACATCCGGGATCTGCTGCAACCGAGTGGCACACTGGAGCTACGTGAGGACGCCAAGACCGGCGTCATCCAGGTGGCAGGACTCTCTGAGAAGACTATCGTGTCTACCAAGGAGGTAAGAACTTATTAACTTCTCAATGTAAACGTCTAATGTTCGGGAGTGTCACACAACAAACGATATGTCACAAGAAATGTTTTGAAACCCCGCAGTAGGCCGAGGACATAGAATATGTTCTGTTCGTCTGTCCGTCCAGCAATCGTCATTTCATCGTCATATCATTTCCCCACCAGCTTTTCAAGAAATTGCTCTGGAACTCGGTACAAACATTGAAGAGGGTAAGTTCTGTAGGTGTATATACTGAAATATGGGTCATGTCTTATGGATATCTCAAGTTGTACACCTTCTTTGGACCTTAGTGCTGGTCTTAATTGCATTACAGACATTTTAATTTCATAATTTTTTTAAATATGACCACACATTATTAAAAAAACACGAGTCCTGAGTAATAATGCACTGTATGATACTACTTGGATAGAGATCAATCACACCAAATGAAAAATAAATATTGACAGTAAAATCAAGCTTTAGTTGAACGTCAAATCCTCTACGCTACGACATTTACAACGAGCGAGGTGCACACACACACACACGCACGCACACACACACACACACACACACACACACACACACACACACACACACACACACACACACACACACACTTATGGTCGGTAAACATCCCTTAATTGCTTCCGTCCCTCCCTTCTCTACGTCTATTGACAGCCTTAGGTAAGTGTGTATCTGTGTATCACCCTTTGTTCTGGACCAGCACTCGTGTATGGCTCCTGCTGAGTCACGTGGTAGGTCGAGTCATCGCTGTCAGGTGAGAGCCAGGCTATTTACGTGACAGATAATGTAACTTCTGCGCCAGATGAGAGGTCAGGTCACTGCTGCGTCACGTTGTAGGTTAGGTCACTGCTACATCAAGTTGTAGGTCAGGTCACTGCTGCGTCACGTTACAGGTCAAGTCACTGATGCATCTCGTTACAGGTCAGGTCAATACTGCATCATGTTACAGGTCAAGTCAATACTGCGTCACGTTACAGGTCAAGTCACAACTGCATCTTGTTACAGGTCAGGTCAGTACTGCATCTCTGTACAGGTCAGGTCAATACTGCATCTCGTTACAGGTCAAGTCAATACTGCATCACGTGACAGGTCAGGTCACTACTGCATCTTGTTACAGGTAAGGTCAATTCTGCGTCACGTTACAGGTCAGGTCACTACTGCGTCTCGTTACAGGTCAGGTCACTTCTGCGTCACGTTGTAGGTTAGTTAACTGCCTCGTCTCGTTACAGGTCAGGTCACTGCTGCATCACTTCACTGCAATGAGGGGGATTTAGGTAGAAAGTATAGATAGAATATTTAGCTGTAGGATTGTAAAGTGAGGAAGTTTGGTAGCGTGGCAGGTTATTTATTTATCTGGGTATTATATTCGTAGGAGGAATTTTCTAAACCAATTCTAAGTACAGCTATTTATTATTCACTCAATGACACAAACTCATTAATAGCACATTATATTTACGTTACTAGACACTGACTCTCGGACACAAACATGAAATGGATACACTTCCCACCGTAAGTAACTCGCCCTTGGATCGCTCTGACAAAGACTCACGTGTGACCCGGTGGGGGGGGGGCCAAGCAGGTGCTGCTGAAGAATGTGCTGGACTATGTCTCCTATTACAGTGATGCTCCGAATTCTAGCTGACCCTGAATGTGAATCCTGGAGGAGGGAGCTGCAGGGCCTATATATTGGCGGTCACCAGCCGGCAGGTGACCTCTCCCAACTAACACTAAACTGGGTGTGTCTAGACAAGTGTACTGGCTGGAGGGGTTGCTTCTTGTTACTGACCTCTCTTGGGTCAGGTCTGGACAGCTGTGTTTGCCCAGGTGTGGGTGTAACACGGGCATATCACAGGGTTAACTCAAGTACCGTGTGGCCGTCAGCTCTCCTGGGTCAGGTCTTACTCTCATTGTAGGGTGTGTCAACTTGCCTGGGTGGACACCTGCTCATGTACTCACTGTTATATGTGTTGTATTTCTCTGGGCTGTAAGCTGTGGTCTGATAAACAATCATTCCATCACAGGTCAGGTCACTACTGAGTCTTCTTAAAGGTCAGGTCAATACTGCATCACCGTACAGGTCAGGTCACTACTGCTTCTCGGTACAGGCCAGACCACTACTGCGTCACGTTAGGGGTCAGGTCACTGACTCGTCTCGTTACAGACCAGGTCACTGTTGCGTCACGTCACAGGTCAGGTCACTACTGCATCACGTTGTAGGTTAGCTCAATGCTACGTCACGTAACAGGTCAGGTCACTGCTGCCTCACGTTGTAGATCAGGTTACTACTGTGTCACGTTACAGGTCAGGTCATTGCTGCGTCTCGTTACAAGTCAGGTAACTATTGCATCACGTTACAGGTCAGGTCACTGCTGCGTCACTTTGTAGATCAGGTTACTACTGTGTCACGTTACAGGTCAGGTCACTGCTGCGTCACGTTGTAGGTCAGATCACTACTGCGTCACGTTATAGGTCATCCACTTCCCTACATTACAGGTCAGGTAATGCTGCACCATCTTACAGGTCAGGTAATGCTGCACCATCTTACAGGTCAGGTCATTACTGCACCATCTTACAGGTCATGTCTCTGAACGTCACAATAAAGGTCATGTGAAACTTTCCCAGATTACCCTGGGTTGACCTGTCGTGACCCCGATGTCTGTATCGTAGCGTGTAAGAATCTAAATCCCTGATCATTATTAAGCCGGTAATTATTGTGACCTAAGATGACACTGGCCGGGAGTGTAATTACCGAGCTAACTGTCACTTAAATACTGGCAGGTGGGTCAACAGGGTAGGTGAGACTGGGATGGAAATTTCTCAATACTGCAATTTTTTACTAGGTGATAAATGGCTTGATAGTAATTTGTGATGGATGGCTTTTCATGGTGACCGTACCATCAACACCATCGGATATGTAGTTATATGTAGACCGACGAAAACATATGATATACTTCACTAGAAACGTGTGATATACTCCACTAGAATTATCATCTGTCGACCAATTTAGACCGAGTTGGTGGATCGTTGGTGGAATTACTCGATTCTACATTGTGTTTATTCCAGGTTAATTTTGTCAATTGGCCGCACATAATTTGTCTTTACACTGTGAACAACCTTCAACACCAGGGAACTGTTTCTGTGTCGGTGGAAATTGTAGATTTTTATTTAGATTTGTACCATGAAGCCTTTTCGTTTGAACCCAATTACATTGTTGGCAAATTATGGCTGTATCTTTAATATTCGTCCAAGAATATGAGGAAGTGAAATTAGGTTACATGCAAGACTGTCCGTTAGGGATCGTGTGGATACAGTGTGATGTACTGTATACTGAGCCCTTGTTACGCGTGGCCGGCGCTTCTCTCGACAGGCTTCACTTCCCCTACTGAACAGTCAGTAACAGTACCCATTTACACTTGGGTGAACTGGAAGTGAGTGCCACAGGATCGTGTACAACAGGAGGCGAGCATTACATCCTCTCGTCCACCGCACAACAAGGTCATGATAGTCAGTGCCTTACTACCCTTGTAATCTCTGCTAAGACTAGAGTATTAGTGTCTTTCACCTCACTGGCAAACTAGACAGTAACATGTTGATTGTAATCTATCCCGGTTTAAATCAGTATATATTCCATTTGTTACAGTTAAATGCTCACAATACCTAACCATTTTGTTAACCTCCTCTAAGATAACATTACCAAGGGAGCTAAACTTCTTCTCCCATAACCTCGCGCAGATATGAGTATGACACATTGATGTATTCATTTAAATCCTTCGAGTTTAAGGAAACGTAAAAAATACCGAAAATCAAGTTAAAAATATTTCAGAGAACTATTAACCATGACAAAGTTAATTTCAGCTAAAAAAACATAGTTCTTACAATTAGTAAAATGAAATACTTTGCCCAGTCGGTCGTGATCAGGTAAGCTTTGCGTGCTGTCATAGCCAGTTGAATATAATGTTATATACAATACAGGGTATATGTCTTACCCTGACGAACGATAATTATCGGATTTCGGGGTTTTCTGAGAAAGGTCAGGGCTTGTGGGGGTAATTTCTATAGTGTGCGCCTTACGAGGTACAGTTTTTGAGAAAGGTCATATGACTCACTGTAAATGGTCCTTACTGCAGCGCATTAACATTGTTTTCTTTTGTGTAGTGTAGAAGTTAGGTGTACTAAGTGAACTAAGCTCAGTTATGTTCCGATTGCTTTATTTTACGATGCAGAGAATATCAGTATCAGCTTAGGTGAAAATTGTGACAGAAACGTTATTGAACTTGGGGTCTGTCGTGCCAGCGTCACGCTTCCTCCAGATGGGAAGTTTAAAAGTGTAAATCCAATATCTGTCTCCCCCGCCTCTACGTCGATACCCACTAGCCAAGTTTTTCTCTCATGAATCATTTAAATGTGTTTCATGAACTCTGTACTTTACTCCGCTGTATTGAACACCAGATAAAACAGAGTACACATGAAAACGAAAAAAATAAAGAAAAAATGTGGGTTAAAGAAAATATTTATGGTAAATATTCCATAAATTCTAAGGAAATACCATACCATATTACACTGTCCTTTGCCAGGTGTCATTGTTGTTACAATATGGCGGGCATAGCGAAAGGTGAAGAGGACTACTATAGAGATGATACATTCATTCAACTACTATACAAGGTAAAATATGATTAACGACGAATACCCCTCCTGCCCTCCAACACACACACACATCCTTGACCACCGGAGGGTCAAGACCTATTGGGCGCTCGCTCCTGCGGCGGCAGCGGCCTCGGCCAATGTTGGCCCATTACCCAAACCCCTCTCCCCGACCCATCCTCACCACCAGGATATCAACATAATCCCGCCAAAAGTGACAATTTCGTTTTGGAAAGAAGTGAGATCAGTGTTGAACAATGTTTAAGCCAGTGAATTCAGCACTTGACAGTACTAGCGAGAGCCGTGACCCACCAGTGAGGTCCACACCCAGTGATAAGCACCCT